AGTTATCTTGAATTCTGTTCAGGTCTTGCTGCATGCAGACGTAAGAGGGAGAGGGATGGGTTGAGGGATAAGGATGAGGAAGGGAGAACAAACTCCGTGTCTGTGACAGAGAACTTCAACAGCTGTGGCCACTCATGGAGGTGTGTAGAATCCCACAGGTGCTGGTGCTAGGGATAGTTTATTAAATGTATCTGAAAGTACCCAGGACCCCTGTACTGAATATCCCCGAAATGATGGCAATGCCATTGTCCCTGTACCTTCCAACCTGACCTCAGGCCCTGTGTTAATTTTATAAACAATAAAGCAGACCTTCCCAAACTTTCAAATCTTGTAGCCACATGAACTCCAAAATAAGATCTAGGTTCTTTAACTCCTGATGTGATTCTGTGCAAGCTGCTACTTTACAGACCATTGTAACAAGCACAGAACAAATAATTCAGACAAGAGACGGATCTGTGACAATATTCCTTCCACCTTCAGAGGCTGTTGTCCTCCCAGCCCACGGCCCTTCCAAATCTGAGACTATCCAAACTGGACGTTCCTGAATCTGTCCGTCCCTGGGTCTTTTACCATCTGGTTTTAACACTTTAATTTTCTCCCCAAAACATCTTGCCTCACTGACCTGTCCAAAATTCTTCCCAGCCAATGTAGGAATTGTTTTGCAGTGTGGTCACTGTTGTAGGAAATATGGCAGCTAATCCGTGTACAATCAGTTGCCACAAATCCCATTTGTGCACAGCAAGCTCCCACCAATAACAATATGATAATGACCAGATAGTCTGTTTTCAGTCAATGGAGAATGTTTTTTAGATGAGTGCTGGCTGGTCCCTGCAGAGAATTCCCCTGTTTGCATTCAAAATAGCAGCTGTGGGAGGTTATACATTCAATTGAGAGAACCAATGGGGCTTCCATTTGACGTTTCATCCAGAAGGGTTTTATGCTGTAGAAAGGGGGAGGGAGGAGGAGCAAGTGGAACTGACGGTAAGGGTGTTTCAGAGCAAAAGACAAACAGCATGTTAATAGAATTAGAGATAACAAGGTGTAGAGCTGGATGAACACAGCAGGCCAAGCAGCATCAGAGGAGCAGGAAAGCTGACATTTCGGGCCTAGACTGTTAATAGAATTATTCTGCTCTGGAAGAATTATGTCTGTTTCTATCTCTACAGATCTGCTGAGTTTCTTCAGCATTTTCTGTTTCTGTTTCAGATCTCCTACAGCCGCAGAATTTTCCTTTCATTCGATGAGACAATGATGTAAATCCAAGCCAAGTTTTGCTTTGGACCCAGCCCTGGTTTAGGTGTGGATCCAGTCCTGTTTTTGATTCGGATCCAATCCTTTTTCTCGGTGCAGTCAAGGTTTAGTTGCGAGCCAATCCAGTTTTGTTGTGTACCCAGTCCGGACCTATGTGTTATCCGGTCCTGGTTTTGAGGTTGATTTTTGTCTATGACTTGATCAAATTGCACTTTATCGAGACACAGGGAGCCCTTACAACCAATGAGCTTTCAATCCTCGATAAATAGCTGGAACGTGAATGTGTTATTATTTATTTCGTGCTTGCAGCTGCCTGTCCTGACTGACAATGTGAGAATGTTTATCCCAATGCTTATTCGTGCATTCCCGTGGCCTCTCATGCTATTTATTACCGAACTGTTGCAGAGATGCAGAGAATGGAACAGGGAGTTGAACGTAGTATCCGTTGTGATATTGCCCCATCATAAGCTCAGCTCTGGAAGTCTGTACCTCAACATCCTCACCGATCCCTGCGCACACCCTCCGCTATTCCTCCTTTGGAACATCCCTTGAAGCCTCCCACTTTAATCGAAGCATTTGATCACCTGTCATTGTTTCTCTGTAATTTGTTAAGATTCACTCACAGTATGTGGCTGGGCTTGTATTTATTACCTGTCCTTAACTGCTAATAGTGATAAGTTGCCTTCTTGATCTGCTACAGCCCATGTGGCGTATGTATGTCCGCAATGGTGTTCATAAAAGGAGCTACAGGATTTTGACCAAGTTTATAGTGACGGAATTGTGACAGTTCCTAATCTGGATGGTGTGTGATTTGGAGGTGAACTTGTGGGTGGTAATGCTCCCAATTATCTGCAGCCCTTGTGCTTCTAGATGGCATGGATCACAAGTTTGAAAGATGCTTGCTGGCTCATTGTCAGGTTTCTTTTGTCTGATAATGACTTGCATCTGTCCAAGATCTCTGCACTTCTCCAGTTTTTTTTTAAAATCCTTTTTACATCTGTTCATATTTGGCAGCTGTGCCTTCAGATGCCTTAGCTTTTAGATGTTGGAATTCCCTCTGCTTCTAAAACCCAAATTTTTGACCCAAGCTGTTACCTGCCTCTTAGCGTCACTTTTTCCATGGTTCAGAGTCCCTTTTCTTTATTGCCCTGATGATGTTCCTTTTGAAGTGCCTTACCATGTTAAAAGTGCAATATTAATGTAGGTTGTTGAAGGTCCACTTTCAATCTGTGACATTGACCAAAAATGGAAATTAAATTGAATGGAGAAACTCACTCAGATGTCCTTGTAGAATCAAATGCCTGGATTGACCAAGTCCCTTGATTTTTTTTTTGAAGGATGGGAGATACATTGTCCACAATAAGGACAGGAGGAGGCCATTCAACCCCTCAAGCCTGTTTTGCCATCAAATTAGATCACAACTGATCAAAGTTTTAACTCCATTTATGTATGCCAGCTCTCAAAACCCTTATCCAACAAAAATCTATAGAAGATCCAAGATGCTCTTGTGCTCATACGCATTTAGGACTGAGATTTGCAGACTTCCACCCGCTTTGTGTGAAAATGTGATTCCTAATTTTACCTCTGAATGAAATGACTCTCATTTAAAATTTATGCTCCTTTCCCAAAGTGGTGAAAAAATGTCTTGTTTCTTCACAATTACATCCCTCAGCTTGAAAGGAAGTACAATTTGCTAAAATGGTCAAGATATTTTCAAATCAACCTGTTCAGGGATGTTATTACAAACTTCTGGAGCAGGTAGGACTGGATCGCAGGTTTCCTGGTCTGGAGGTAGAGTCAGTACCACTGCACCACAATGATCCTAAGCCTTCTGGCCTAGATGTAGGGACAGTATCATTCCACCACAAGGGCCCAACTGAAGTGGTCAATAGTAAAGTTATATAATAATTTTCAACTGATTTGATCTCGACACTATTTGTATCCAACCCCATAATATGAACAATTAGTGACCTCTGCTGGACAACTCAAGTGTTGCATCATCTCTTAGAATTTCCACAATCATGCTTTGTGATTGCTTGGCCATGGTACGACGTTGGAAACTCGCTGGATTACAAACTGGTGGCTTGGACACTAGTATCATAGGTCTCATAGTACAGAAGGATGCTACTTGGCCCAACATATCTGTGCTGGCTCTTTGAAAGAACCAACTGATTAATTTCTGGCCTTTTCCCTTCAGTCCTGCAAATCTTTTTATTTCGTATTTATCCAACTCCTGACTAAGTCAGGCAGAATTTTGATCAACAACAGAGATGACAGATATGCCGGCCAGATGGGAATGTGGAGTTGAGACCACAAGCCAGTTCGGTCACTATCTGGCTGAATGGCAGAGCAGACTTGAATGGTCTTCTCCTGATCCAATGTTCCTAGAACAATCCCAGCTCCTCCAGTCCCTCCACATAACTGAAATCCCACAGCTTTGGTACTTTTTGGCAGATTTCATCCATGCCCTACCCAAGGTCTTGACATCTTTTCTTAAATGTGGTGCCAAGAATTGGACACTGTCCACAAGCTGAAGACTAACTTTTGGTAATTATCAGATATAGAATGGATTGTTCCTGTCAAAGAGAGAGATCAGTCCTGTCCTTGGAATAGACAGAATGCCCAAAGTGAAAACCCTGGAATAATCTAAAAGGAAAACGGCTAGTGCAATAAAGGTGATAAACAAAGGAAATCCTTATTCTGTTACTAAATTCAAGACTGAGGTTGATAGATTTTGACACTGAGGGAGCTAAGTGATATCAGAATGCGACAAAAGGACAAAAAATTGAGGTCAAGGGTAATCCATGGTCTTATTGAATGGCAGAGAAGTCTTCCTCCTAACAATATTATGTTCATAATGTGATTCATTGTCAAATATCGTTTGATAATGCTCTTGTAAAGCACCTTGACAGTTTTTATGGGGCTGTATAAACACAAGCCTGTGTTGTATTTTTGTGACCAGCAGATGTGAACATAGACAGCTTTGTTTGTGATGACACACATGGTCGACCCGCCAGTTGTCATTCATGGATCAGGATCTCGTGTTTTGTCAGGAATGAGACAATGGAGAGGGGGTTGATAGTACAGGAAGTGGACTCTGCTGAGTGTGAGAAGAGGCAGAGAGGAGAAAATTGATCCACATTAATAGAATTAAGAGATGAAGTTGTTTCATCCCAAGATAAGACTTTTGCAGACGGTACAAAATTGTCAAGACCCTCATTTCCCCACCTGTTGTGTTTTTCTGATCTTTTTATAATATAATTTGTGCGCTATGGACATTACTGACAAGACCAGCATATGTTTGCTGCTCAGATTGCCCCTTGAGAAGGGGATGGTGAGCCGCCTTCTTGGACTCCTGCAGACGTTGGGGTGTAGGGACACCAGAGTTACTCTGGAAGAGGGAGTTCCAGGATTTTGACACAGTGACAGTAAATGAGCGGCAATGTCGCTCCAAGTCAGGGTGCTGTGTGTCTTGGGAGGAGAACCCTGTTCAGGTTCTCTGCGCTCACAGCAGAGGCTGCTGTTCTGGAGTGAGGCAGCAGAGGGCAGAATAGTGAGGCAGCTGCTCCTTGTCCTTGTGGTTCCACTTTCCCTAATCACATTCTTTGTTTATCATTGAGTTCATGTTGTCATCAAAGTGCGACCGGTTGAGGTGTTCTGTTGTCCTGAAGCAGCAAGGAGAGGGAGGGAGGGAGAGAAGAGAAGAGAAGGGAGAAGGGAGAAGGGGGTAGGGGGTAGGGGGTGAGGAGAGGAGAGAGACAGCGGAAAAGGAGAAAGGAGGAGGTTATATAGAGAGAGAGACGGAAGGAAAAAGGAGTGATAGATATAGAGGCAGGAAGTGAAGTGAGAAGAGGTAAGGGGGAGACAGCAAGAAAAGGAGAAACAGAGAGAGGGAGGAGAAAAGAGAGAGAGAAAGAAAGAGGATGGAGACAAATGGGAACAAGTGAGAGAGAGACGGGGGCGAGAAAAAGGAGGGAGAGAGAGAGAGAAAGGGAAATGAGACACGGGGTGGGGGATTGAAATTTAAATTGAAGAGCAGAAAGAGGCACGTACCTAAAAAGTAGGGAAGAGCCATACGGAGCCACTACGGGGGTTCAGTGAGGAGCCCTGACTGAAGCAGGATGCCCCATGAGAGGGGGAAGGGACAGACTTGTTCCCCAAGTGGGGTAGTGTCAAGGGGTAGCCAGCCTGGTTTGAGGGGAGCTGGGCCTGGGTCACTGCCCATCCACCGGCACAAGGAGAGCCTGGTTCAAGCAGTCAGAGACCATCCCTTTTTGATAGTGACCGGAGAAACTGGCAGCGGAAAAACCACACAGTTACCACAGTACCTGTACCAGGCAGGTAAGAACTGAGTTACATTTCCATAGCACCTTTCCAAAACCTCGGGACATCCAAAAAGTTACTGTGCAGTCAGTAAAGTATTTTCGACCAGTTGTCACTGATGTCATTGTTGGAAATGGGGCAGCCAATGTGTGCACTGCAAGATCCCAAAGCGATATGATGTTTCTGATGTTTACTGACAGATAAATATTGATCAGGAGTGGGAGATCTGTTGGCAGAATGGATAGTCCCCTCATTTCTGGGCCAGACACCCAGGGTTCAAGTCCCACCTCAATGGTTGATGGCCCGGGTGAGTGTGTTTGTGACACAGCGAAACTGGCTGATCATCAAATTGCAAATCCTTTTGATACACATAGGGCAAGTGACGAGAGCAGGATGGTTTCCTGGCCAGCTGTAACCATGCAGCTAAACTAACTCCACATTCTCCCATCCCCTATTTAAACAGCTCCATGCACAGGTTCTTGCTGTAACTAAATATCATTCTCATTTCATTGGACTCTGAGAGAACAAGATTAGACAGGACACTGGAAATAACAGCCCTACTTTTCTTTAAGGTAGTGTCACAGGATCCTCTATGCTCACCTGACTGGGCAAACTGATGGGTCTTGATTTAACATCTTCTCTGAAAGATGGCACCTCTGGTAGTTTGGCACTCCCTCTGTGCTGCCCTGGGAGATCATGCCTGACATCATGTGCCCAAATCTCTGGAGAGGGACTGGAACCTGCTGACTCTGAGTGTGACCCACTGAGACAGGGCAGACATTAGTGGATTGGGCGTGATGACTCTGCAGTTGAACAGCTTTCCAGCCGTCGCGGTATACCCTCCTGTGGGGTGGAATGTCCCTTGGTTGGGGCACTGCAGGAAATCCAACCTATCTCTAAAAGAAATGGTAGTTTGGCCTGCGGTCGGAAGCACTCCATTTGAAGAGTGAAGGTTTCCTGAATCCGGGATGGGGGATATGTTAAATGTTTCTGTTTCTCTGCCTTCTGAGGAGCACACAGCTGACAGTTTGCTTTCTGAACCTCCCAATTATACACGCAAAGCTTCTCTTTCTGTACCTCAGGACTCGGACGACACGGCATCATTGGGGTCACACAGCCACGTCGAGTGGCAGCCATGTCTGTGGCCCTCAGAGTAGCAGAGGAGATGGACTGCTCCCTGGGCAGCAGAGTGGGTTACCAGGTCCGCTTTGACGACTGCACCTCTGAGGTGAGATGCCATCAGCGGGTCTCAATTTCGAGTTTCCTGCGCAGAATGACATTGACTTCGCTCAATTGCTGCTCAGCCCAAGGTCAGAGATTGGTGAGAGCGTTGACAGCAGGAGTTTTGGAAAGAGTGCGAGAAGCTGTAGCGCTGAGGTAGAGGATCAGCTACGATCGTACCGGGCGATGATGCGGGTCCAAGGGGGCAACTGGGCGCTTTGTATTCCTGTTTTGTATGTTCATCATTGCAGAGCTGCCTGCCATTGGATCAGAGACACCTTGATTCTGTGCAGTCCTTGGGATTGTCTCAAAACTTCAGTGAAAAGCCTGATGAGTAAAGGGAGTGCAGTAAACTATTCTGCACCTTGCTCAAGTGGGCAGACACGGTGGCTCAGTGGTAAGCACTGCTGCCTCACAGCTACAGGGACCAGGTTTGTGTCCAGCCTTGGGCATCTGTCTGTGTGGAGTTTGCACATTCTCCCCGTGTCTACGTGGGTTTCCTCCCACAGTCCAAAGATGTGCAGGTTAGGTGGATTGGCCATGTTAAATTGCCCATAGTGTTCACTGATGTGCAGACTAGGTGGGTTAGCCATGGGAAATGCAAGGTTTCAGGAATAGGGTAGACGGGTGAGATGCTGTTCAGAGGGTTGGTATGGACTTGAGAGGCTTCCACACTGTAAGGATTCCATAAAGTGGGATAATGCAGCATTGCCAGTGGCTATGCCATAGATACCATGTAATGGCTGTTCTGTTTCTCCCCAGGAGACTGAGATAAAGTACATGACCGATGGCTGTTTGCTTCGGGAGATTCTTCAGGACCCTTGCCTCAGCCGATACAGCGTCATCATCCTGGACGAGGCCCACGAGAGGAGTCTCAGCACAGTTAGGTGACAGTTTGCTCTTGGAAATTCTGTCTGGTTTGGTTTGTGGTGAGAGGACAGGCTTGGACATTATATGAGAACTTGATTTATTTACGTAATTCTTTTCTCCTTGTAGGTGTTTTACACTTCTGCAGCCACCAGTTACTTTTGTGTTTATATTTGTTCTTGGGATGTGGGTGTTGCTGGCTGGCCCAGCGCTGATACCCACCCTTAACTGCTCTTTCAAAGTTGGTGGTGAGCTATGTTCTTGAACCGCTGCAGTCCTTGTGATGTCAGTATGCCCTCAGTGCTGTTAGGCAATGAGTTCCAGGATCTTCCACCACACCACCTTTTTGTTTTATTTGTTCACAGGATAAGGGTATCGTATTTATTGCCTGTCCCTAATTGTTAGGAGTCAACCACAGATCAGGCAAAATGGCAGTTTCCTTCCCTAAAGATCTTTAGTGAACCAGATGGATTTTTCCGCCACTCAACAATGGATTCATGGTCATCATCAGACTCCTAATTCCAGATTTTTTTAATTGAAATCAAATTCCACCATCTGCCGTGGTGAGATTCAAACTTGGGTCCCCAGAACATTACCTGGGTCTCTGGATTAGCAGTCCAGTGATAATACCACTAGGCCATCACCTCCCCCTGTTCCACCTTGCATCAAGTGGGGATGATGGTGTCGTGGTAATGTCACTGGACATTAGTAATAGTAATCCAGAAGTACGGGCTAATGCTTTGAGGAAACGGGTACATAGTTGTTTGATCTGACGTTGAACCGTCCAATCAACAATAAAAAATGGTTTTGTTTAATAATACTTCTAGTCAACCGAAATGTGACTGTGTGCAGGAGCCGCCCCAAGTTAAAATGTCCCTCATAAAAACTGAAAGAACTGCAGACGCTGTGAATCAGCAACAGGAAGTTGCTGGAAAAATGCTCAACAGGTTTGGCCATATCTGTGAAGAAAAAAATCAGAGTTAACGTTTCAGGTCGAGTGACTATTCCTCAGAAGACCACCTTGTCTGCTGTAGTCATGTGACCTCTACCACGTGGCATGCACACTGTAGACAGACATCTTAAACTCACTTGTATAAAAACCCTTGTGTTGAACACATTGTACCCTTGAAACAGAATTCAACCCGGTCTATGTAAAACTGCGAGGTGTGCAGAAATAGCTGGCGTTTATTGTGCCAAACTTACTCTTCCTGCATGCTGTCTCCCCTCAGGATATCCTCTTTGGTTTGCTCAGGTCCCTGCCAGCATGGGTGCCAGTGTCACGAGAGCGCAGGGTGCCCCTGAAGGTCGTCGTGATGTCAGCAACGCTGGAGGTGGAGAAGCTCTCGAAGTTTCTGGGTGGTTGTCCCGTTTGTCATGTGTCCGGCAGGTCTTACCCCGTCGAGGAAGTATTCTGCAACCTGATTGGACCGAAGGACAAAGAAGGCTCGGGGTTGGTGAAAGAGGTGACACTTTCTTTGTTTCCCGATCCATCAGCGCGGGCACTTCCCAACACCGTAGTGAACTCCCAATTGAAGCCGGGCTTTTAGCGAAGAAAAGAAATTCAGCCTCATCTTGGTCTTAAATTGGTGCCCCTTTATTCCGAGACCATGTTCAATGGTCCTAGACTCTCCCATGAGGGGAAATATCTTTTCAGCATTTACCCTTTCATGCCACTTAAGAATCTGATATGTTTCAGTGAGATCTCGCAGTCTCTATGTCCCACTGTCCTTGCCAAAAACACGCCCCGAAGCCAAACTCTTCAACCAAGCGTTTGCTCATCTGCTGTAACATGTCATCCTTTGGTTCGGAGTCACATTTTATCCAAAGGGCTTCTTTGAAACACCTTGGGACCGATCATTTACTACGTAAGTGCAGGTTGTTGTCATGTTGGCAATTGTTTTCGCTTTGGCCAACAGCACCAATAACTCGCATTAACTAGCATTCTATCTCAATTGGTCATTTGTCTTGATATGTGACCTTGCTGTATGAAATAGGCTGACAGTAATGAGGTCTTATTCAATTGTCTGAGAGCTTGGTTAGACCATACTAGGAACACTGTACACAGAATTGGTCTCCTTATCTTAAGTATGATGTTATTGCCAGAGAGAGTGCAACAAAGCTTCAACCAGACTTGACCCAAGGATGGTGGGACTGTCTTGTTAAGAGAGACTGGGCAAATTGGGCCTGCATTTTTTACAGTTCCAAAGATTGAGAGGTAATTTCACTGAAACTGACAAAATATTACAAGGGATAGATAGAGTAGATGCAGGTAAGATGTTTCCCCTGGTTTGGGAGTCTAGAACCGGGGCCACTATTTAAAAATAAAGGGGATGCCTTTAAGAACAAAAAGATGAGAAGGTTTTTGTTACTCAAGATGGTGCATTCTCTACATCAGAGGGCTGTGGAAGCTCATTCTTTGAGTATTTTTCAGTTGGAAGTTGATAAATGTTTGATTACCAATGGTGAAAAGAGTTATGGGGATGAGGTGGTTAAGGGGATTGAAATGTTCGATCAGCCATGTTGAATGGAGGGGCAGGCTTCGAGGGGCTGAATGGCCTACTTGTTCTGAAGGCATACTTGCTGATCAGACAGTAATTGTGCTGTAGGGGTACTTGACTGGGAAGCACTCCTGAGACATTGTGAGAATGTGATTCAGGCACTGTATCAATGCAGGTTCACTCATTCTAAACAACAGTGTTTGCTACGTATCTTTAATCTTGTTCCTCATTTCCAGGTTGCAAACATTGCTGTGGACATTCACGTGAATGAACCAGAAGGAGACATTCTTGTGTTTTTAACAGGTGGGTTGCACTGTAACAGCCGTCTCTGCAGCATAATCCATCAGACTGATGCTCCAAACAATACTACAAAGTGGAGGAAGCAATCAGAGTTGCTATTTTGTTTTCATCAGCCATGTGTCCATGTGTTTGGCAGCTCCAGTCTAGAAAATGCCAGTAACCTTATTATGTTGGGCCAGATAATCTTAACTCAATGAGTAAAACTCTCACCTCTGAATCAGAAGTTCAAGCCCCAGAGATGTGAGTGCTTAAAGCAGGCTGACACTTCAGTGCAATACCAAGGGATTGCAGCACTGCCAGAATTGACATTTTATGAATGGAGTGTTAAGCCAAGGCTTCCTCTGGTGGATGTAAACAATCCCACGGCCACCTCACATACTAAGGTGTCTCCTTCTGGTTCAGTAGGATGGTTGCTGGTATGGAGGGGTTGTCTAATGAGCAAAGGCTAACCAAGTTGGGACTCTGCTCATTGAAATTTAGAAGAGTGAGGGGTGACCTCATTGAGACGTAGGATTCTTAAGGCAAATGCTGAGAGGAATTTCCCCTCATGGGAGAGTCTAGGACCAGAGGGCATAGCCTCAGAATAAAGGGGCCCCAGTTTATACTGACATGAGGAGGAATTTCTTCTCTCAGAGGATTGAGAATCTTTGGAACCATTTGCCATAGCGAAGTGTAGGGGCAGAGTCCTTGCATATATTTAAGGCTAAGACAGATTCTTAATCAGTGGGGAGTCAAGACTTATGGGGAAATGGCAGGAAAATTGATGTGAGGAGTGTTGTGTCAGCCACGATCCTATTGAATGGCAGGGCAGGCTCGAGGGGCTGAATGGCCTGCTCCTGTTCCTATGACTTATGGTCACTATCTGAAGAAGTGCTTGGGAGTTCTCCCTGTTGCCCTTGTCAAAATGTATCCTTCAAACAACATGACTGAATCGGATGATTTGATTGTTCACTCGTTGCTGTTTATGGAACTTTGTGACGTGCACTTTAGCTGCCTCATTTCCTACATGTACATTTAAAAAAAGGTTTAACTGGCTGTAAATCACGTAGGGACTTCCTGAGTTCATGAAAAGTACTGGTCAGGGCCATGGTGAAATTTTGTATGGCTATCCAGTTCAGCTGACTGTGCCCTGAACCAGTTTCTGAAATTTCTCTCTGCTTGAAGAAACACTGATGACGGTCAGTGAAAGATCTTGATGTCAGGAATATTTTTGAGATTTTTACCGTATCCTACTGGATTTTAAATTATTCCCTTAATATTTTGCATTTAATTTCACATTTTCTCTCAGTTCATCATTTCAAAAACTATTCTCCAAATTTTAATTCTAATTATTCTGAGTGACACCTTGTGTCTGCTGGCGGGCCTGTTTGGTCGTAAGAGCAACTTTTCAGCTTAAAAGAAGAGAAAAATAGAAATGAGAAGCCGGTAGCCTTAAAAACGAGCGTGCAGCTTTCAAATTCACGGTAAGGAAGGAAACGTGTTGTCGTTACAGAGTCTGGATTGCATGTGACTCCAAACTCAAGCCAACTTTGCAGATTCTTGCTGGCCTTCACATCATTATGAAGGGCAAGTTGGGGCATGGTTAATAAATGCCAGTTTTTCCTGTGTTGCCCACAATTGGAGGCTGAATATATGTCAGCAATTGCTGGCCTCATGGTGACCAAATAACCACTGTTGATATCAAAAATCCATTTGATTCACTAATATGCCTTTGGGAAGGAAATCCACTGTCCTTACCTGGTCTGGCCTACATGTGTCTCTAGAATCATAACCATGTGGTTGACTCATAACTCCCCTCTGGGCAATAAATGCCAGTGATGCCCTCATTCCGTAAATGAAGTTTAAAAAATCTTCTTTTTGAATGTTTAAAATCCTGGAACGATTTCTAATGGTACTGAGGATGCACCCTTCCGAAACAGACTGCAGTGGATCGAGAAGGTATCTTAGCACCACCTTCTTGAGGACAATTCGGAATAATCAACAAATGCCAGTCTAACCAATGACTCCCACAATCCAAGAGCAAATTTTAAGAACTCCGTATTCCATTTTCTTTAGAAAGAAGTTACCCAATAAAGGTTTCTGGAAAGTTCTTGATAAAGTAAAGTTTTTCCCCGTGCTGTGTGGAAGTCATCAATGTTAAATCATTGGTTTAAAAAAAAATCTAGTGGGAAGATGAAAACTGTCTTTACTGCAAGGTGTCGGTGCCTGAAGGGGTGGTGGAAGCTGAATCCTAAATCGAAAAGAGATTTGATAATGTACTTGATGAAGAATTAAGAGAGGAGAAAAGTGGGGATGTGAGATTTTTCAGGATTGCTCTTAAAAGAGCCAGCACAGATACAATAAACCATATAGCCACATCCTGTGCTGTAAATTGATAAGATTTAAAATGTTAGGTTACCTTGGATGAGTCCAACGTGCGCTGCTTATAAACCACTTTCATTTTCCAGGGCAGTCTGAGATTGAGCGAGCATGTGACTTGCTCTTCCAGAAGGGAGAATCAATCAATTACCGGTACGATGTGAGAGATAGATCGATCGAAGGGCTGCTCATACTGCCACTATATGGGTCTATGTCAACAGGTAACACTGATAGCAAAAATAATTTTATAATGTAGTTCTTGTAATTCGTTGTGTTCACTTTTCTGTCCGTCGTCTCCTCACTCAATATTTGTGAACCAACGGTGCATTTGAAGACAAAAACAGAAATTGCTGGAGAAACTCAGCAGGTCTGGTCGCATCTGTGGGAAGAAAGCAAAGCTAGCGTTTTGAGTCCAGTGGTCACCGGATCCATAGATGCTGCCAGACCTGATGAGTTTCTCCAGCAATTTCAATTATTGTTTCAAATCTCCAGTATCCACATTTCTTTGTGTTATTTTGTGAGTTTGAAGACACCTACCCCCAGAAAATTTCTGGAAAATGTAGGAACTGAGGCCCTGCCACATTGGGTCCTTCACTGTCCCAGTTTCTTTATCATATGGGGAGGACAATGCAGAGACAGAGGGACAGAAAGAGTAAAAGCGTAGCAAGAGAGAGCCATGGTCCCTCATGCATGCATCTGCCTTGGCATAACTGTGACTGAGGACTTTGTGTGTGGAGAAAGTTGACCGTGAACACGAGACATTCCCTCTTGGCTAAACAAGTGATGGGTTGTCAGAAAAATGGGAGAAAAGGGAAGTCACTTAAACGTAATCAACTATTACGTTGGCTGCGTGGTGGGGCCACCTTTAGTCATGGCGATCTTAATAAAAGTAGCAACTCTCAAAAAGATGGTGACATTTTTAACATTGGACCTTACAAGCTTTCAAATTTAAGCATCTTCACCAGGTTTACCTTGAACAGAAAAATTGACACCCCACTGAAGATTGTGGAAGTATTTACAGGAGGGATGGGAAGTGCCGAGTGTTCCATGTAGATTCCCAAGCTGAGGACCTGAATTTTAACTCCAATTCAGCTGTTGGCGGTGATGTAAGGCCCGGCCCACCTCAGCAGTCGCTGTAGTTTCTCAGTGAAAGGAGCTTGCAGTGGTCCCCATTTGGTTAATGACAGATATTGGCCCCTAGCCGAGACTGATTATAAATTGTTACGGTAACTCGGATGAAATTGGCTCTTGTAGAAAATGAAGAAAATTGCTTTGGTGCAATACAGAGAGCTCATCTCAAGTGGGTGAATATACACTTACTAAAGGGAGCTTTACTGTGTTTCCAACTGGTGCACTACTTGCTTTGGGAGGGGTTAGTGAACAGTGTAGAAGGTGCTTTACTCTGTATTTAGCCCCTGTGCTTGTCCCTGTCCTGGGAGTGTTTGATGGAATGAGCGTTGAGTGAGTTTTACCCCTTTTCTAGCCCCAAGCTGCACCTGTCCTGGGGTTATTTGATGGGGTGAGTGTTGAGTGAGTTTTACTCTGTATTTAGCCCCCATGCTGTCCCTGTACTAAAAGTAATTGTTGAGGGCATCAGAACCAAATATACCCATACTCAGCACCTAGAGTTTCTCTTGCACAGACGGTTAAGCTAATAAACTGTGCCTGTGTATGGAAGCATTGTTTTAGTTGGGATGTAGGATACTGTAATCTCAATCCTAACTATGATTTCTTAATCAGATCAGCAGAGAAAGGTTTTTCTTCCTGCTCCACCTCACATCCGGAAATGCGTTGTTGCTACGAATATTGCAGCCACCTCCCTGACTATTGATGGAATAAGGTAAGTGGAGTCGCAGGTAGACAGGTTGGTGAAGAAGGTGTTTGGTACGCTTGCCTCATTGGTCATAACATTGAGTAAAGGAGTTGGGACGTCACTTGCGGCTGTACAGGACTTTTGGAACACTGCCTTCAATTCTGGTCTTCCTGCTATAGGTTGTTCAACTTGAGAGGGTGCAGAAAAGATGTTCTAGGACTGGAGGGTTTGACCTATAGGGAAAGGCTGAATAGGCTGGGGTTTTTTTCCCTAGAGTATCAGAGGCTGAGGGGTGACCTTAGAGAGGTTTATAAAATCATGAGGGACATGGATACGGTGAATAGCCAAGGTCTTTATTTAGCAAATATTTTGCAAACAGGGTTAAGGAAAATCCCAAAGCCATTTATTCATACATAAGGAGCAAGAGGGTAACTAGAGAAAGGGTTGGCCCACTCAAGGACAAAGGAGGGAAGATGTGCGAGGAGTCAGAGAAAATGAGTGAGATTCTTAATGAATACTTTGCGTCGGTATTCACTGAGGAGAGGGACATGACGAATGTTGAGGTTAGGGATAGATGTTTGATTACTCTAGGTCAAGTCAGCATAAGGGTGGGGGCGGGGGGCAAGTGTTGGGTATTCTAAAAGGCATTAGGGTGGACAAGTCCCCAGGTCCGGATGGGATCTATCCCAGGTTAGTGAAAGAAGTGAGAGAGGAAATAGCTGGGGCCTTAACAGATATCTTTGCAGCATCCTTGAGCACGGGTGAGGTCCTGGAGGACTGGAGAATTGCTAATATTGTCCCCTTGTTTAAGAAGGGTAGCAAGGATAACCCAGGTAATTATAGATCGGTGAGCCTGACGTCAGTGGTGGGGAAGCTGCTGGAGAAGATACTGAGGGATAGGATCTATTTACATTTGGAAGAAAATGGGCTTATTAGTGATAGGCAGCATGGTTTTGTGCAGGGAAGGTCATGTCTTACCAACTTGATAGAATTCTTTGAGGAAGTGACAGAGTTGGTAGATGAGGGAAGGGCTGTAGATATCATATACTTGGACTTCAGTAAGATAAGGTTCCCCATGATAGGCTGATGGAGGAAGTGAAGTCACATGGGGTCCAGGGTGTACTAGCTAGATGGATAGAGAACTGGCTGGGCAACAGGAGACAGAGAGTTGTAGCGGAAGGGAGTTTCTCAACATGGAGAACTGTGACCAGTGGTGTTCCACAGGGATCTGTGTTGGGACCACTGTTTGTGATACACATAAATGATCTGGAGGAAGGTATAGATGGTCTGATTAGCAAGTTTGCAGATGACACTAAGATTATTGGAGTAGCAGATAGTGAAGGGGACTGTCGGAGAATGCAGCAGAATATAGATAGATTGGAGAGTTGGGCGGAGAAATGGCAAATGGAGTTCAATCCAGGCAAATCCGAGGTGATGCATTTTGGAAGATCCAATTCAAGAGCGAACTATACGGTAAATGGAAAAGCCCTGGGGAAAATTGATGCACAGAGAGATCTGGGTGTTCAGGTCCATTGTACCCTGAAGGTGGCAACGCAGGTCGATCGAATGGTGAAGAAGGCATACGGCATGCTTTCATTCATCGGACAGGGTATTGAGTACAAGAGTTGGCAGGTCATGTTACAGTTGTATAGGACTTTGCTTCGACCACATTTGGAATACTGCGTACAGTTCTGGTCACCACATTACCAAAAGGATGTGGATGCTTTGGAGAAGGTGCAGAGGAGGTTCACCAGGATGTTGCCTGGTATGGACGGTGCTAGCTATGAAGAGAGGTTGAGTAGATTAGGATTATTTACATTAGAAAGATGGAGGTTGAGGGGGGACCTGATTGAGGTCTACAAAACCATGAGAGGTATAGACAGGGTGGATAGCAAGAAGCTTTTTCCCAGAGTGGGGGACTCAATTACTAGGGGTCATGATTTCAAGGTGAGAGGGGAAAAGTTTAAGGGAGATATGCGTGGAAAGTTCTTTACGCAGAGGATGGTGGGGCCTGGAACGCGTTGCCAGCGGAGGTGGTAGAGGCGGGCACGATAGCGTCATTAAGATGTATGTAGACCGATAAATGAATGGGCAGGGAGCAGAGGGCTACAGATCCTTGGAAAATAGGCGACAGGTTTAGATAGAGGATCTGGATCGGCGCAGGCTTGGAGGGCCGAAGGGCCTGTTCCTGTGCTGTAATTTTCTTTGTTCTTTGTCTTTTTCTCAGGGTAGGGGAGTACAAAACTAGAGGACATATGTTTAAGGTGAGAGGGGAAAGATTGTGAAGGACCCGAGGGATAAATTTTTCACACAGAGAGTGGTGCATGTATGGAATGATCTGCCAGAGGAAGTGGTGGAGGTTCATACAATTTCAACTTTTTAAAAGGCATCTGGGTGGGCATATGAATAGTTAGGGGATACGGGCCAAATGGGACTTGGTCAGATTGGCATGCCTGGTCGGTGTGGATGATTTGGACTGAAGGGTCTGTTTCCATGCTATATGGCTCTATGACTCTATGAAATGAAGGCTTCATGTTACTGTCAGAGTCCAATTGCCCTCCACAATCTCAGCGTCGTTCCATAATCGCCATCTGTCTAACTCGCCTTCAGTGACACTGGAAAATGACACACAAGTTGAGCCTGAGCATTGGTGCTGTTTGACCGTGGTGGGAATTACCGAACAGCTCAAGCATAGTCACCTCAAATCCACATAAACAAACTTCAGAGAATTTCAGAATTGTTACATTGCCAAAGAAGGCCACTCGCCCATCATGCCTGTACTAGCTCTCTGAGTATTTTGACTTAATGCCAATTTCCTGCCTTTTTTCCTGTAACCCTGCACATTGTGTCTATTTAAATAATCATCTTAATGTCCCATTGAATGCCCCACTTGAACCTGACTCCACCGTGGTTTCAGCCAGTGCATTCCAGACCCTAACCATGTGCTGTGTGGATAAGTTTTATCTCACCTTGCATTTGCTTATTTTGAAAAACACAAACTGTGCCCTCAGGTTCTCGATCCATTTATGAGCGAGAACAGTTTCTCCCTATCCTATTCTGTGCAGACCCCTCATGATATTGAAAACTTCTTTCAGTTTCTTCTTCGACTTCTCCTATCCAAGATAAACAGTCCGAGTTTCTCAAACCTTTCCTTATCTAATCATTCCTTATAACTGAAGTTTCTTATCCCTGGAACCATCCTCATAAAACCACTTATGCATTCTGTCCGATGCATTCACTTCCTTCCTATAGTGTGGCACCCAAAACTCTACACAATACTGCAGCTGAAGTCAAATCAGCATTTTATACAAGGCTATCATAATGTCCCTGTTCTTGTACTCTGTGCTCCTGTTAATGAAGTTTGGAATATTATATGCTTTAGTAATGGTTCTCACTACTTGTCCTGCCACTTTTTAATGATGTATGTACATATTTATCCAGGTCTGCCTGTTCCTGCATGCCCTTTAGCATAGTACACATTATTTTATACCGTCTCATCATATTCTTTGTACCAAGGTTCGTCATCTCACACTTCTTTGCATTGAACGGCATCTGCTACCTACCTGCCCACTTCTCCAATGCGCCCTTTTATCAAGACTATGTTAATGAGGAAGTCTGTCAGTTTCCATCACAGGAATGTGCTCTGACTTATCAATCAATGCTGAGGGACCTCTACCAATAAAAAGAAAACGTATTCCATAGACATTTAGTGTACAGTCTAAGTGAACACTTCAGTAAAGGACAGAGTACTGTACCATCAAGACATGTCATCTATCAGTCAAGATTAAACAGAGGCACTCGTCTGTCCTCTGAAGCCATTCTTTGAAAAATAGTGAAAAACTTCTCTGTTTTCTCCTTGCTAAATTTAACTCTCAACCTACATTACTGAAACTGATTGTCTGATTGCTATCTTCTTTCTTATTTGTAGGATCTTGCTGTGTGCAAATAGGCTGTTACATTTCCTACATTTCAACAGTGACTACACCTCTAATGCACTTCATTGACTATAAAGTGCTTTGGGATGGTTTGAGATTGTCAAGGGTGCTATGTAAATGCAAGTTCTATCTCTATCTAATTTAAAAGTTTGTTTATTGATATGCTAGATGATAGACTCCAAAATTACAACTCAAACATAAAGCCAGATAGAATTGGATTTCAGCCAAGGAGTAAACAATTTAATTTTTAACCTGAAATATTCTAATAGAATTGAGTATCGATTCATCAGGCATTATGGACTGCATTTTATGATTGGAACTTGCTGCTAGAAGTGTATAATGTTAGTTAAAGACTTGCTGTCTCTTTAAGTACAGATATGTTGTAGACTGTGGTTTTGTGAAGCAGCTGAATCATAATCCACGTGTTGGACTTGACATACTGGAGGTGGTTCCAATATCAAAGTAAGTTTCTAAAAATATGATTATAGTTCATTCTAAGTAAACACACTAAGTACATACACCAAATTCTGGCCTGTTTCCAAAGAGCTCCATTGTATAGAATCCTAATCTTCTGAACAGCCTATTCACTCAAATGGAATAGAATTCCAATGGAGCAAATCACCTATTTGTTGCCATAAGACTATATGACGTAGGATCAGAAGTAGGCAGTTCTGCTCTTTGGGTGTGCTCTGTCATTCAATAAAATCATGTGTGATCTGATAATCCTCAACTCCACTTTCCAGCCTAATCCCTGTAAACTCTTGATTCCCTTAATGCCTATTAAAACGATAATGACTAATTTAATTGCCCCAATGTCTGTCTCAGCATTCAATATATGTAACGGCCCATCCTCGACAGCCCTCTTGTGGTAAAGAATTCCACAGATTCTCTACCCTCTGAGAAGAAAGTTCCATCCCAACTGTGTCCTAACTGGGCGACCCCTTACCCTGAGATGATACCCTCTGGACCTGACTTTCCTGCACGGGGAAACAGCTTTTCCACCTCCAGCCTGTCAGATCCCGTAAGAGTCTTGTATGTTTCAATAAGGCCACCTCTCATTCCTCTCAACTCAAGTGAATACAGGCCCAACCTACTCAACCAGTCCTCATAAGAATAGCCTTCCATTCCTGGATCAACCTAGTGAACCTTCTTTGGACTGCCTCCAATTCTGGTAAATCTTTTCCGAGATAAGGCGACCAAAACTGTTCACAGTACTGTGAGTGTGGTTTAACTAGTGCCTTATATAGATTTAGCAAGACCTCCCAATTTTTATACTCTATTCTGTTTAAAGTGATGGCAACATTCTATTTGACTTCCTTTTTACTTGCTGACTTTGTATACAGTCTTTTTGTGAATTACGCAAAGGATTCCCAAATCCTTCTGTGCTGCAGCTTTCTGCAGTCTTTCACCATTTAAATAATATTCTTCTCTATTCTTCCTGCCATATCTTCCCACATAATATGCCGTCTGCCAAGTTTTTACCCATTTTACATAACCTGTCTATGTCTATATCCCTGTGCAGACTCTGTGTCATCTCAACACTTGCCTTCCCACTTAATTTTTTTGTCATCTGAAAAACTTGGCTACAGAAATGCACTTTCCTCATCGAAGTTGTGAATATATATTTAAGTTATTGAAGCCCCAGCACTGATCCATGTGGCAGCCCACTAGTTTCAGGTTGCTACGCTGAAAATGATTCCTTATCTCAAATATGTCTTCTATCAGTTAGTCAGTCTTCTGTCTGTGTGACTACATTACTCCCAACACCACCGACTCGTATCTTATTAAGTAGCTTAATGTGTTATACCTCACTGAACTCTTTTATAAATCCAAATACATTACACTTGCCGTTTCCCCATTGTCTATCTTATTTGTTACTTCCTCAAAGGATTCTAATAAATTTGTCACATTTAAATAAAGCGGCTTTGCCTTTTTTCATTTTTCTCCCCCTTTACCCATAATTATTACTGTTTTTCTATATTTGTACCCTGCCCCTTCCAGTCTCCACTTTAAGCATCATTCTACAAATAGCTGCCCTGTAATGCTGTGATACCCTATTGCAGTGTAGGCCTACGTTTCCCCTCTCCCAAATCCAGTCTCAACTAATTTGTTTAAAACCCTCTCCACAGCCCTAGTTATTCAATTGACCAGGTCACTGGTTCTGAACACTGTTCAAGTGAAGCCTGTACCATTGGAAACAGGTCCATTCTGTCCTAGTATTGGAGCCAGTGCTCCATGAAACCCATTCCTCCCTTGACCAATCTTTGAGCTATGCACTTGACTCCTTGAATTCACTTGTCCAATGCTTTTATTTACTTGTGTATTTACTTTAACTGCTCAAAATCTTTCAACAGAATCTTTTTTAGTCTTATTAATTTCATTAGCACCCACAAGGACAAAGACAACCAAATCCTTCCCCTCCCACTTCCAGTTTCTCCCCAGTCCTGAGGAGGTATCCTTAAAGCAGGTTCCAGGCAGTCAACATAACCTTTGGGACTAAATAGAAACTCTCAGAACTGCTGATGCAGACGGTCTGAAACAGAAATTGCTGCAGAACCTGAAGAAGGGTCACCAGACTTGAAACGTTAACTCTGCTTTCTTTCTATAGATGCTGCCAGACCTGCTGAGTTTCTCCAGCAATTTCTTTTTTTGTTTCAGCCTTCAGGACTCGTGCAAACACCTGCAAAGAACCGTATTTTATCCCTCTAACTATTCTGTCTGCTACCACTTGGCTTTTTATTTCCTCCCTTGCATTTGAATGGCTACCTGTAGCATGGTGTTGTGACCAATGCAGTAACCCACCTTGCAGTACCCATTCTTGCTCACACAGCTTGCAAAAACCTCCTAACTGTTGGACGTTTACAGGGACCAAGACTCCTTAAGCACTACCACTTGGATCCTGCTATATGTGCCTCACATGAAAATGCCACACACACAATACCCTGCCCACGTATAGAAGGACTGTAATGGTTATTTTTTAACTTTATTTATTTATCTTCCTAATTTATACGATGAAGAACTGTAATGTAGAATGTTTCGCATTTTCTCTTTATTTCTCTATTTTTGTACCTAATCTATTTTAGTACCTAAGATAGCGCCATGTGTGGCGACATTGTACACATTTTGCTGTACCCTTGTACTTTGTACTTGAGTACACATGACAATAAACCTAATGCTAATTCTAGACTGAATTACCTAATCCAGGGAGCATCATCTCCTCCTGGAACAACGTGTCCATGTAACTTTTCATCTGCCTGGTATGATACATTATCTGCATGTACCTAGAACATAGAACAGTACAGCACAGTACAGGCCCTTCGGCCCACGATGTTGTACCGAACTTTTACTCTAAACCTATGGTCTATCTAACCTCCACCCCTACCTTATACTATCATCCATATGCCTATCTAATAGCCGCTTAAATGCCCCTAATGAAGCCAACTCCACTACCCTGTCTGGCAATGCATTCCACGCACCGACCACTCTGAGTAAAGAACCTACCTCTGATGTCTCCACTATATCTACATCCACTCACTTTAAAACTATGCCCCCTCTTAATAGCTACCTCCACCCTAGGAAAAAGTCTCTGGCTGTCCACTCTATCTATTACCTCTCATCATTTTGTACACCTCTATCAAGTCACCTCTCATTCTAAAGAGAAAAGCCCTAGCTCTCTCAACCTTTCCTCGTAAGACATTCCCTCCGTTCCAGGCAACATCCTGGTAAATCTCCTCTGCACCTTTTCCAATGCTTCCACATCTATCTGTTCATATTCAGCTACAATCTAGTACACCGAAGCTCTCCCTAATCACCCTGGGGACAAATGACATCAAAAGTTATGGGGATAAATTGGCATGCAGGTAGATGATCACCCCTCTGTTTGAATGGTGGAGCAGGCTCAGTGGGCTTAATGGCCTCTATTTCCTATTTTTCTATTGTACGCAAAATCTAAAAGCAATTTAAAGTTAGCAGTTAGTACATTGAACTGAAAAGAGTATTTTGATTCTGCAACACATCACTGGAGTGTTGTCTGATATTATTTAAGCTAAAAGTTCTTTCCAGTTCACAGCCTTAACCCCTTTGCAATTGCCTGTTGCAGGAGTGAAGCTGTGCAACGAGCAGGAAGAGCTGGGAGGACATCAGCTGGAAAATGTTACAGGATCTACAGCAAACAGTTCTGGGAGATGTGTATGCCTGATCACATGGTCCCGGAGATCCAAAGAACAAGTTTATCATTTGTGATCCTTACCCTGAAGTGTCTTGGTGTGAACAATGTTATAGGGTAATGTAGTTCGGCCACTATTTCCATTCTTCCTGCTCCCCCTTTGCTACGGAGGTAGAGGATATTGTTTGCAGTCAGTCCCTCTCAGTGAAGAAGGTTTCCTAAGAGTATAATGGGATGTTGATCAGCTGGGCCAATGGGCTGCGGAATAGCAGATGCAGTTTAATTTAGATAGAGGTGTGGCATTTGGTAAAGCAAACCAGGTGCAGGGACTTACGCAGTTAATGGTAGGGCCCTGGGGAGTATTGTTGAACAGAGAGACCTAGGCATTCAGGTACATAGTTCCTTGAAAGTGGTATCACAGGTAGACATGTGGTAGACACAGGTGGTGATAAAGGCACGCTTGCCTTCATTGGTCAGAGCATTAATTATTGGAGTTGGGACTTTGTTGAGGCCACTTTTGGAGTACTGCGTACAGTTCTGGTCTCCTTTCTTTTGGAAGGATATTATTAAATTGGAAAGTGTGCAGAAAAGATTTACAAGAATGTTACCAGGATTAGAGAGTTTACATTATAAGGAGAGGTTGGATAGGTTGGGACATTTTTTTTCTGGAGCATAGGATGTTGAGGGGTGACCTTATAGAGGTTTATAAAATCATGAGGGGTATGGATAAGCCGAATAGCAGAGGTCTTTTCCCTAAGGTAGGGGTATTCACAACTAGAGGCTATAGTTTTAAGGTGAGAGAGGAAAGATTTAGAAGACACCTGAGGGGCAATTTTTTTTAACACAGAGGGTGGTATGTATATGGAATAAGCTGCCAGAGGATGTGGTAGATGCAGGTACAGTTACAATATTTAAAGACGTTTGGATATGGATTAGAAGGAAATGGGCCAAATACAAGCAAATTGGACTAGTTTAGTTTGGAAAACCTAGTTGGCATGGATAAATTGGACTGAACGGTCTGTTTCTGTGCTGTATGACTTTATGACGCTCCATGTGTACGAAGTATGAAGTAGAGATTTTGTGGTAATCAGTTACGGACAAGCAGTTGCAGAGATCTGGAGCTGGTGTGCAATTACTGTAGAGTCTGAATTAATCAAATTCCTTTTCATTCCATTGGATTGAATCCCAATGGACCAAACCCTACTCTCTCCTGTTGAATACTTCTCTCACAGAGAGTTCCCTTCATGCCAGTATAACTGACAAATGCAGCAAAGTTTCAAAATCTAGGGCTCCAGCTGCTTTCAGTCTCTTCGGAGATCTCCTTGATCTCTGCTCAGAGCCTCCCAAGCATTCTGACTTTGACATTAATCGCTGTTGCCTAAGCATGTGATTGGTATCCTACAGCGAGACTTGTAGATGGGTTTCATCAAACAACATTATATTAATGTGCTCAGGAAAATATCTTATCCATAAAAGTCTCCTGAAGGTATTTCATCCCAGGGTCCAAATTTCACAAGTGAGGAGCAGCAGGATTGCCAACTATGAAAGGCATCACATTGAGCACAATCCAAGTGTCCATCCACAAGTACTTTCCAGCAGATATCATTGGATAGTGCTGAGTTGTGGGCTGTCTAACGGGCACTGAGGGTATTTTGTTTATTTTTTAAAATCGGCTGGTTGTCTCGGTTTGTGTGCATGCCAGTCACAAAATTAAGAGTCTCCTGAGCCACTGGTTAGACATTGCATTATGATATGAGGTGCAGGCTTCCCTCTTCCAGGCCTGATTCACTTAACCCAGGTCTGGAATTTGGCAGAGCTGGGATTCGGGGAGTCCTCTTCTGACCAATACTGAGGGTCTGGCTGGAGCTTAATCAGCTTGAACTGCACGGGCGAAACTCGCAATGCGCAGCATTAACCCAGTGAGGACGGCATGGTTAGTAGGAGTGGCAGATCTTGGTTCCTGTGTGAGGAAGGCAGATTTGTTGTTTGGATTATTGTAGAGCCTCCTCGCTCAGATAGGGAGTGAATAGTAAGTTCCATCTTCTGATCTCACCCCCTTCCAGGACAACAAAGAGAGACCAATTATGGCAACCCTTCCATTGAGATCAGTACGGGGGTGGGGGAGGTGGTGATGGTCTTCCCGCATGTGGCAGCATGGCCCTGAGTCTCTCAACCCAGTTCCTTGCACAACCAGCTAAGCGACACATTGTTCTGTGTGAAGTTTTCCACTTTCCTGAGTATGCTTTGTTCGGTGACTTCTTAGGTTTCCTTACCTTGACA